TGTCATGTGGGTCAGCTCCCTGGCCAGGGATTGAACTCTTGTTACAGTGGCTGCAGCTAGTTTCCTTGTGCTGTGCCACCAGGGAGCGCCCACAGTCAGCATGTTTTAACTTGTAGCTGAAAAACAATTAAAAGGAAGTTAACTCCAGGAATTAGTCTCTGTGTATTAACTGTTCTTCTCAAGGGACTAAAGATACTCTATTGATTATACACTTTTCTGTGATTTAGTCTTACGTTGCATAGTTGTGTTATATAAATAATTTTTACATAGTTTTTAATTTCTCCAGGAAACACATTCAGGATTTAAACTGGCAGCGAAAGAACATGCAGCTCACAGCTGGATCTAAATTGAGAGAAATGGAGTCAAAGTGAGTCTCCACATTGATCATCTTTCAATGGCCAAGCACAATCTAAAGCCAAACCCAGGAGTATGACCCAAACCTAGCGCAGTGGCGTGTGTAGGTGCCCAGGGCCTGTGTTCTGTGTCCTGAGCTTCACCCCTGCCTCTTTCTGACGTGCATCTTGGAATGAGTGAGAATTAGAACAGAGAAACCACTGCTCAAGGGTTCTGGTCTTGGTGTATCCTGTTACGCGTTATTTTTGCTCTGAATAGAATTATATCTGTAGTCTCCTTATAAGAGGAAAAAGTTTGACTTGCAAGGTATCCTTATTTTCTTGATAATTTGTCTTCATTTGCTTTGTTATGTATCTTATTTTTAAAAAAAGTTCTTCATTTACACAACTAAGTTGGCTCACCTTCCTGAATAGAAGCCTGGATTTTGCATCACTCTTTTCCCATCACCTCCCTGTACCCCATGTCATGGATCTGTGAAGCATCTTTTTTTATTTTATTTCAGGCTAGTAGGATCTTCTAAATATGCATATGTGTTCCTTTCATTTGTCCTGGAGATTTTCTGTGGAAAGGAGTGGCTCCTTTTATCTGGGATTTCTTTTTCCATCAGTAATAGAAATTTCTTCACTTTTCTTTTAACTGTTTGCTTCACCTTAAGCACCCACTTTATTTCCGTTTCTGTTAGTTCAGCTAAATCCTACCTTCATTTCCTGTCAGTTCTTTCTAGTTTGCTCTTTTTACTACTTTTTTTTTTATTTTGAGAGAATTGTAGACTCACTGAAACTATAAGATCCTGTGTACACTTTATTCATTTCCTCAAATTGTGCCCTTTTTTTCTTAAATGCAACGTTTAGTGAGTTGAGTGGAGGTTAGTATGAAGACCCTGGGTGAAAACACCACATAAATACAATCTTATGTGAGAAATGTCACCCGGGGTAATCATTCTTTTTCTTTCCTTTGTAGTTGGGTCTCCCTGGTCAGTAAGAATTATGAGATTGAAAGGACGATTGTGCAATTAGAAAATGAAGTCTTTCAGATGAAGCAGCAACACGGAGAGGCAAACAAAGAAAACATCCGGCAGGACTTCTGAGAGCCGCTCAGCCTGGTGACAGGTGAGAGGAAGCGAGCCAGGCTGCGCAGGCCGGAAGGACAGCTGCATTATGGACCACTGCAGTGCTGCGTGCTAGGCGCCGCAGAGTCTGAACTGTTACGTTCCGAGTTCTGTTTGTGTATTTACCAAATAAAAACATTTCGACTGGATGGTAGTTTTTTGACTATTAAAAAAAACCTAGTTTTTCAAACACATATGATTTTAATATATTTAGAATCAAGTTGAGCCACTTGAACCTTACCTTATATCCAAGAGCTCTTTATTGAAAATTTTCAACATGTATAATAAGTTGGAGTTTTGGGGTTTTTTGTCCAAGAAAGAGAGGCAGTTCAAAACAAATTGCTGATTACCAGACAAGACTTCAGAGACACAGTAGATCAATTTAGGTTGTCGTCGTCGTCATAGTAGTAGTTACATAGAGCTTGTGCTGAGCACTGTTAGAAGTACCTCAGGACTGCTGGTCCCAGGCTTATAACTGTTGCTAGCTAAGTTACCTCAATGTTTTATAGCTAGAAAATGTGATTCAAGTTTTGAACAAGTATTCTGGTGCCAGGGCTGTGTTTTCACCCTTCTACCGTTTGGGAGTTAAAACACATAAAACAGGCCTGGGCCCTCCCTGGTGGCATAGTGAGTTAAAGCACAGCACATGAAGCTAAAGCCCCTGCAGCACAGGTTTCATTCCCAGCCAGGGAGCTGACCCACAGGGTGTGGCAGACCTATTCCCCACTGCTCCCCTCAGCAGTGTACTTCATCAGTCAACCTGTTCTGCTCCCCACTCTGGTGAATCCTTTTACTGCTCCTGCACCTCTGGCCTCTACCCCAGTTCTGTATGCATAAATAAGTTAATCTTTAAAATAAAAAGGATAAAACACGTTGAGCATCAATAATACAAATTAAACCTCAAAGTTCTTAAACTTACAATGGTCAGTGACTTTTTTAAGATTTATTTATTTGTGCATACAGAACTGGGGTACAGGCCAGAGGCTCAGGGGCAGCAAGAGGCTTCACCAGAGACAGAGTGGGGAGCAGAACAGACAGATCTACGAAGTACACTGCTGAGGGGAACAGCGGGCAGGCCAGGAGAGGTCTGCCGCGCCATGTAGTCACCTCCAGGGCAGGCAGGTATCAAACTCAGGTGGAAGCTGCTTTAGATTCTCAGTGCTGTGCTTTAACCCCCTGCACCACCAGGGAGGGCCAGTGACTTATTTGAGAAATGCTTGCCATAACATGGGTTAGTGATTTCTGTAAGTACATATTTAAGCAAAAAAGTTTACAGAACTGTTTGTATAATACCATCCTATTTAATACTTAAGTCATCTTTTTTCACCTATTTTGACCCTTCAACTCTCCACATGAGCTGTCAAATGTTTCCGACTGAGGCAGAGCTGAAGCCACTCAGCAGTTGTACCTCTGTTTTATACAATAGTAGTATATGAATTAGAGAACATTTTTACTGCCTTTTAAGTAAAAATGGGAATAAATGGAATGTGAGATTCTGAAACTGGCTATTTTAAGCCTCAGTTGGAAGCTTACTGGTCTTGAGCTACTGACTGCTCAGGAAATAGATTAAAGAACCGTCTTAAATTCTCATGGAATATTGTAAAAAAAATGAGTTCATTGTGCTGAAGATTAAAAAGATTTAGAATCCACAGCCAAAATGCATTACATTGGTCTAAATCCTGGGGGAAATCTCAGTCCATTAGAACTTGAGAATATGCTTACTACATATTTATAATCAGGATTGGGGAGGAAAGTTATATTTTCTCCACAGAAGATTTTTTAAAATGTGTTGATAATTCACTTTTCCAGTTAACCATGTTAAGTGAAAAAATATTAGTGACTTAGGGTTTGTCTATGTTTTAGCTTTTTGGCAACAGCATCCTTCACTCCATCCCCATTTTTACTAGCTTTTCTAAACTTATTTAGAGATGTATTCATAAAAAGAAAAAATAATCTTTCCTTCCTATGGCCAAAGGTCTGAAGGTTTGATGTCTATAAGTATTTTTTAAAGTTTATTTTTATTTATACATACAAGAACTGGGGGTTAGGCCAGAGTTTGGGGGGGTGAGAAGATCCACCGGAACAGTGCACAGCAGAACAGTTCCACCGAAACGCACTGGCGAGGAGCACTGGCAAGATTAGGGGTCTTCTGTGGGTCAGCTCCCTGGCTGGGGATGGAACCCACGCAGCACTGGTGACAGCCTGAGCATCAGCCCTGCGCCACCACCAAGACCTGCGTGCGTACACTTTTTAACAGTACCCTGTTTATCAGGTTCTCAGAGGGGTCCGTGATGAAGCCAGGTGGCTCCTCTGGCAGAACTATTCTGACGTACTTTCCACCACCCTGTGTTCCTTCCCACCCAGACAGAGTTCAGCATCATATCTTTGTTGTAGTAAGAAGCCTCTTCTTCCCAGGTTGTCCCCAACACTCAGGACCGGCTGGATGGAAAGCATATGGTCTTTTGCAAAGTAAAATAGGGCATAAGTATTTTGGCACCTTGGAGCATTCTGGGGCCCAGAAGTAAAATCTGTTGGAAGATCACCATTGCTGAGCAAAATTGAATTGTTTCCCAGCAAATGAGCCTGTCAGATCCCTCGGTGAGGCTCAACCACCCTCACCCCACTGACAGGAAGGTTCTAATCCATGTTTTTGTTTTCTGTTTTTTTTTTTTAACATTTATTTTACTAATTTATGCATATAAGAGCTGGGGTGTAGGCCAAAGGTGGGGGGTGGTGGTGAGAGGATTCATTTGAGGCAGCTTGGAGAGCAGAACAGGCAGATTGAAATACACTGCTGGGGGCCCTCCCTGGTAGCACAGCGGATTAGGATGCAGCACTGCAAGCTAGCAGCAACCGCCTCAGTGCAAGTTCTATCCCCGGCCTCAGAGGTGACCCACAGGAACAGCAGACCTCTCCTGTCTCCCCACTGCTCCCTCAGCAGTGTACTTCGTCAATCTGCCTGTTCTACTTCCCACTCTGTCTCTGGTGAATCCTGCCACTGCACCTGTGCCCCAGTTCTATATGCATAAATAAATAAATCTTAAAAAAAAAAAATGTACAAAATGATGTAAAAATAAACTTAAAAAAAAATCCACTGCTGAGGGGAGCAGCAGGGAGACAGGAGAGGTCTGCTGCACCATGTAGGTCACCTCCCTGGCCCGGGATCAAACTCATGCTGGAGTTCATAGTGCTGAGACTTAACCCCTTGTGCCACCAAGGAGGCCCCCAAGTTCTCATTCTTAAATGTGAGCAGATAGTTGAGAGTTGCAGATAGTTAGCTGAGGGATGTCTTTATCATGAAAAGCAAGAACAAAACAAATGGGAAAAAAAGCTGTGGCGAAAACACCATGTGGTACAAGAAGAAAACCATTATTGATTTTTAAAGAAATATATCTTTAAAGAGTTAGAAGATGTCACCATAAAATAAAAAACAGAATGCTATTTTATTAAGCATCTCCAGAACAAAAACAGCTCTTAAAAGGTAAGAAGCATGGTAGCAGAAATTAAAATTCAATAAAAGAGGAATTAAAGTTGACAAACTCAGAAAGTGGAGCCAAAAGGCAAAAAATGGAAAAATAAAGAAAAAAATGGGACTAATGTACAAGATAAATGTTCAAATAATTTGAGGTCTGAAGACACAGAGACAGAAAGCAGAAACAAAATCGAAATTCAGAATTTTCTAGAACTGAAGGATCTGAATTTCCAGGTGCCAGCAATGAACTGAAAATAGATAAATTCCAGCACATATTATTTGGGAAACTTTACACCAAGGACAAAAGGAAGCATCTATCTTCAAGACCTGGGCAATCTCTTGCACTCAAAGAATCAAGAATTAACATATCTCCAGCTTCTCAACATCCACACTGGAAGCAAGAAAAAGGACAACAGAGAAGTGCTTAAGAATTCTTAGGGAAAACTCCCAACCTAGGATACTATCCAAAGTCAAGTTACCAGTTAAGTTTGAGGACAGATTAATGACATATCCAGGCATGTCAAACCTTGGGCATGTTATTTCCTAAATAATTCTCTTAAGGAGGGGTGGAAGATGTGCTTCTCTGGTCCAATAAGTGGAAAGCTAAAGGAAACTCAGGAGACTAGTGACAGGGGATCCCAAAATGGCAAGGGTATCCCCCAAGAGGTCGGCCATTGCAGACTGAAGCCATGGCTGACTTGAGGCTAACATTTCTTTCTTTCTTTTTTTTTTTTTACATTTTAAGATCAGATTCATTAGGAAAAAGAGAGACACCTGCATAGTCACAGGTGAGCAGTAGAGTGGCCGCTCCTGTTTTGCCAAGGGAAGAGGTCTGTGAGAAGAAACACCTATGCAGTCCCAGGCAGGCAGGGCCAAGACTAACATTTTTGGAAAAGATGTCTTCAGAAAGATGCCCATCGCCACATGCCCACTGTCCCATCTTTTACCTGAGGAGAGAGCACTGAGGTGAGACCAGCCCATACTTACTCGCTCTGTGTGGAGATGAAGCAGTGAAGGGCATCTATGGTTCACTTAGCTGGTCAGCTCACAGGTGCAGCTGACTGCAGCGTGAACTCCGTCCCACAGTTCTGTGTCATCCTACTAGTTCATCTCCCCTTTTGGCCTTATTATCTCCTGCAGGTAACTTTCCTGGCACCATAGAAACCAAAGCCACAGGCACCTACAGACTTGCATCACCCCACTTCAGAAATCTCAGAAGAAAGCAAGAACATCAATAGATGAAATTGCACAAGCATTCCATGCTGGATTCCGTGTACATCTTTGGACTCAGAGGTATGGCCAGGGTGGGGGGTGCTGACTGGCCAGTCCTGGATCATGTACCTGGTGGTGGTAAAGTGCTGTAGCTGACTGCTGAGGAGACTTGAGTAACAGTTCCCCAGAGTACAATGATGCTTCAGCTAGCAGAAGGAGAGAAAGAAGTTGAACAGGTAATCTGTTACACTTTTGAACTTCCTTAGGTTGAGATAACCCCTTTGACTAAGCTGGCCCAATGAGATAAGCAGGTCACTGGCCTACTCCCCATGAGCTTACTTTTTAAAGAAAAATATAGTAAACTGTTTACCATGACATAATTTTAGTAGTGGGAAATTGGGATTTTTTTTTTTTACTGGTCTGCTATTATAGTTTGGGCGAGGAAATAGCCATAACAGTCAATAG